CCCCGCCCCCTGACTCCAGAGAAGTCAGTGAGCTGGAGAATCTAATCTGCCCCTGCTGCGTGCCTAAAGTTAGCCTGTTAAATCCCTCTGTGAGTCACAAATTGAAGGGGCATTCCCTTGTTACAGTGGGAGCTGTGTTGCCCACAAGAACTCTTAGCAGCCTCCTAAAATTATGCAGTCCTATATGATACATGCTGGCACCAGCTTTGGCAAGTGCAGAGGTGGAGTTCTTTCCCCTAGTTTACGTTTCGAAGTTTCATGAAGTGCTGAAAAAAGAAGAAACAACCCAACAATTTGGTCTCACTGTACAAAGGAAAGAAAAAAGTTACCAAAAAAAATCACAGTTATTTTTGACCTGTACGTTTTGTCTTCCTGCCAATTCAGTCTTCAGCCTCTCTGCCAAGTCTGCCAATTAGCAGTAACTGATAGGGTATTCTGTTACAACACATGCATGCTCCAATTTGGGATAAAGATATAAGCACTGCATTGTTGTTTATGCCGTACTTGAACTGTCATTAAAATTTCTTGGGAAAAAAGAAGGCATTCCAGTAAAGTACACATAAAATTTAACATTTGTTGATAACATTTTAAATAAAAAAAAAGGAATGGATATATTTAACCAGAAACAGCTTAAAGTTCCTCTTGGGTTGTCCTATTGTTCTGATTTAGTATTATCAATTAGAAAGAATGTTAGGTAGGAACGTTCATAAAAAAATATAATAGTAACTCATGAAACAAAGATTTAGCAAAGGTAACAGAGATAAAAGCAGAAAGATATTCAAATATGATAGGGAATTTTCTGCACTCAGATACAGAATGTTAAGATGGAGACATTGTGTGTCTTAGTATACTATACTAATGATAAAATGACTGCGTAGTCTATTTGCTGTACCATGTAGATCTTATTAGTTGTGGTGGAATAAACAAATAGGTAAGACTTGTAAGCCTAAAGAAAGCTCAAGATACCTCTAAATCCTAACAAGAAGATGTAGGAGGTAACACTGTTTTAATTAAATACTACTTCTCATGTTGTGTAGTCTTAGTAACATTAGAAAAAAAAATACTATTTCCTCTACAGTAGATGTGGGGCTGGAAAAGCTTCTTTATCTGGTTTATTGTGGGGTTTTTTCCAGTCAAATGTTTGGAAGCCACAATTCAAGATATTTTATGTATTAAAATTTAAAAAAAAAAAATTTAAAAGTCAGTGGTTTATAAAATTAAACACACTCACAAACTTCTGTTGTTCAGGCTAAAAAATTCTGCTCTGCCCATACTCAGCAACAAACCTTATAGGATTAATATTTATACTTTAGATATAAGATGCTAAATAGATATCTATGCTATTATTTAACTTCAAATGACTACTCGGACATCTGTTCCAAGGGTCCAAGAGCCCAAACATACTTTTATCAGCACAGTTACACCTCAGAAATACTAAATCCACCTATTCAACTGAAAGCAGCTCTGTTTACCATGGACGGAAATATATTTAGTCCCTTCTGTATATCAAAGGGAAGTCTTGCACCTGTCAACATTATCTCACCTGTGCTCTTTGTTTCTCACGTATTTTGACTTCCTTTTCAATTAATTTTTGCCTCTGGCTAGTTTCTTCTTCCAATCTTTTCTCCAGTTGCTCTCTGCGGCGCTTCTCTTCTTCCAGAGCTCGTTTTTTAGCTTCCATCTCCCGTTCCTAATACCACAGCACATGCAGAACTTCAATTATACATAAAACTATAGTTGGTAATGTAATTTCTAAGCTAGGACTAAATCCCTTTTTGCTTCTTAAGTAGGCAGAAATACATATCCAGCAAAGTGGAACGAAAATTGGAATCAGAATTGCAAATATTACCACTCTAGAAATGAAGGTTCTGCTTAAGCAGCTTTCTTAGCAGGTGTAGGAGCAGTGCTGACCTAGCTTCTGATGTGATTTTACATCAACTCACCCATTGAGACAGCAGCTATTGCATATGGGCTCAAAGATGTAGTATGACAGTGAAACCAGACCAAACTAAGGGGGAAGAGGTAATCTTTTAAAGTGTCTATTAGGTGTAAACTATTTAGGGTCTGATGTTGCATTTAGGAGGATATTATCTAACTAACATGTCCACTCTTAGTTTCACTCAAAAAATGATGCTTACCCTGGTCTCAAGCAGCCTAGTCTTTTCAGCATGCGCTTGTTTCAGAAGTCTCTCCATCTCTTCTATTCTTGCAACATTTGAAGTGCTAGCACTGCACACACAGACACACACACCAGAGTTATTTAAAATAATACTTGGTATTTAAAGACATATTTTACAGTCCAACATCAGACTAAGAATAGAGTTGATACTGTTCTGATCCAATTCAGTGCAGTAGGCACTAACAAAAAATAATATATAAAGCATATGGTATGCTTTCAACGTGTAGAGTCCCCATGCAGAGCTGTGGAAAAAGCAGACTTGAGTGCCTAAAAATGCATCTTGCCAGTCCTCTGTGATCTGTCATCTTCTCCCAGACAGCAGAATATAGGTGGAGATGGTTACCACGTCCTAACAGAACACACTACTGATCCTCAGAGCTGGCATTAGCAGCCGTTTGATTATACCAGCCTTTCTGTCTGTAGACTGTCTCTGTTTTATGTCTCACTGAGCTCATCATCAAAAAATGCTCCATAAAAATAAGAAGGATAAAGGCCATTCAGTGACAGAGTAGTGTCAGGAAGCATCTAGTAGTTAAAGTAACCAGCAAGCCAAAGAAACAAGGGCAATCACAAAGTGCTAGATCCTTGTCCAGCACAACGCAGCTATCCCCTTTGCCTATTCTTTTTTCTTTTGTTTCTTTTTCTCCAACACAATTTCTTTCTTTCGTCTCAATTTCACAGCCAGTTCAACTGTGGCATTTCCATGGCAGGCTCTCTTTTTTCATCTTACGCTGTTTGAGAAAAACAAGCGATGTTAAAATTTACCGTATTACCATTAATAATGGCATTAGACTAAAGCACAACATGAGGAAATAGAATCAATTCAAATGTTTAGGGCAGAAAGAAACTTGACTTGGGATAGTACTGAAAACACTCTGACCACTCAAGTGGAAGTGGGTGTCAGATGGCAGATTTGTTCATGCTACTTAACAGCATACAGACCAGCTGTGAAGGGACACAGGTAGAATGGGCATAGTCCAAGAATGTGTCCTGGGCAAGGAAAAGAAAAAAGTAAGAACAACATCCTTTGGTTTCTGAGCGCTCTGGCACTTAGGTCTGTAAGACCAGGATTTTTGTCAGAAGTGTGACAGTTTTCAGAAGACACTTATATGTCTGACACTGGGCATATGTTTCATGAAAGGATATAATACAATATAAAAATAACATAACTCATTTAACCCAAGCTTGCAGAAAACATAAAATCCATCTAAAATCTATTTGAACTCTAAAAGCTTATTGTCTCTACAAAAAAAAATGAGGCCACTGACTTAGATGCCTAAGCCTAGTTTGGACAAAGTATGTTTAGTTGGTGGGCCAAGAGAATCTGAGTCAAATAACTTCAGTAAAAGCACAGAGCCATAAATTGAAAGTCATTTGAGCAACCTGGAATACAGTTAGTTGCAGCAGGTTTTCCCATATTAAACCGGTTAACGCTTCAGCTCAGTTAAGTTCTTTCATCCTTGATTTGCTTATCCTGCTCACATAAACTAATATATAGCAGAAGGTCACAATCTCTGAAACCTTGGCCACGAAAAATAGTTTGCTAACGAACCTTGGAACCACTACTGTTTGGCAAGTTGGTGAATGACTACAGCAGTTCTGTTACCCCTGTACTTCCAGCACAGACATTTTATGCATTTTCAGCCAAAAAAGTCTCTCTCACCTTATACAAGGTAAAAAATAACTTAGATATTTTTAATATGTCAGAACAAAGCATCATAAATTGTTTTCCTTTAAAGTCTGATATGGCTACAAAAGATTCTCAAACACTATCTAAAACAATCTGGATTAATTTTGCTTAAGTGAAGTTTTGTCAAGAAAAATTAACTGCCTATCTTCCAAATTCTATCAACAAAAATCAGCCCACAGTCTTTGCTTCCCTCACCAAAGTTTGCCTTGTGAGAAACTGAAAGATCTGTTGTAATGGGTCCTTTTCTGGTTTTTGGATTGATTTGTGGTGTTGTGGGTGGTTTTTTTTTTTTCTTTTTTGGGTTTGGTTTTTTGTTTGGCTGGAAACTGCAGAAGAGCCAGAGGGAGGCAGAAAGGCAAACAGCATCAGTGAAATTCAACAGCTGTCCGAGCTCCCCTGTCCTGGGCTGGAGATTCTGCTTACGAGATGGCCCCAAGGTAGCTCAGACACATGCCATCTTCCTCCAAAATGGTCAGCACAGCAAGTCAAAGAGGGACAAATTTCTTACTGCTGCCATGTTAGATCACTGCAGAGATATAGTTAATTCCCAGAAATTTGTCAACTGTATCTATTTAAAACAGAAATCCTCAAAAGTGAAGTCCTAATGTTTTTACTTTAAAAAAAGATACAACCAACCAACAATAAAAACAGCCAGCAGAATGAACACCACTGGTATTTTCCGAAACTCTTAACATTGCAGTGACACAGACTAGAAGAGGAAATCGGTGGGCTGATACCCAGTTACAGGAAACAGATGCTGAATAAAACAGCACACGCTAGACAAAAAAAAGCTGTCTTTGTTTTCACAAGCAATTCTTAATCCTGCGACAACGTTGTACTTAATTTTCAGCCTCCACTTACACTCGTGAAACTGCTGGGGCAGGACTGTGAGCAGAAATGAAAGCACTGTCATTAAAACCAGACTGTCAGAAGAAATTGTTTGCACACAATTTTGAGACTCTGCAGGACTTTTAACACAGATCATTGATGTTGCTTTTATCTGAGGAGTGGTGTCTGAGCTGACAGCCTCTGAGGATGAGAAAAACAGCCAACGGCCCTAAGCCTTTCACAGTGTCATCTCTCTGTTTTTACTGACCCAGAAAAGGGAGAAAAAGGGCAAAAGAGACTGCCAGGAGAGCCCTAAGTGTTTCAATACAAGGCTGTGGCAAGTTAACATGCTGGACCTGCAGAACAAGTGTACATCGTCAGTAGCAGCAGATGTCTTCAAGAAATTTCCTATCACTGGAAATTCCTTCCCTGTAGTGACCAGGGAAGGAAGCTCAGGTATTAGTGACTCTGAGAAGTGCATCGACAACTTCCTAATTTCAGTTCAGGACTGATGACGATTTCTCTGTGGCCTTCAACCTTATCACTTAGCCTCTGTATTTTTATTTTCCATCTTTAAATAAGCAGGTGAGATGATAGTTAAACCTGATTATGAAGGGCCACACAAATACTAAATATTATGCCTGTCCAAAGATCTTATATATCTTAACCACTTAGCATAGCGGTTAAGTCTTAACCACTTAGTTACCATAGCATCAACACGTACGTATTCTCTTTTTTTTTTTTTTGTTTGTTTGTTATAATTGTAGGACCATTACAACATCAGAAAGAAAGATGATTTACCTGGAAATGTTATCTGGTGAGCATGCCGATATGCTTGTCTCCATACTGTCAGAACTGTCTAAGCTTAATGTATCAAAGGCGTGGTCCTTGTAACTACGATCTGGGTAATGGAAACTATTCAAATACACATTTGATTCGGATGCTGTTCTGCTGTAGAATTCAGGAGACTTCTGCCTTTGGTTTTCACAAATACGCTGATGATTATACCCTACAGAGCACAGAGGAAACATTTATTTTACACAGAAATTTTGTGACCCGAACCTAATGTGTTAGCAGCACAAGCGTTTCGAACATCACTTCAGTCTTAACTGTGCTGTGACCAAGGTACTACAATATTCCAGTTAAATTCACAAGTTAATCATAACTTAAATAAAACCTTTAAATACCTGTTTTATCTATGGCAGACACAAATGTATGTAGATTAGTATGGCTGACTTTTCAATATATGTTCTTGTATGCGTATTATGAAAATTTATTTTGAATTAATGAAATTTTCATTTTTAAATGAAAATTAGGCCTCATCTGGAAAGTTACACACCCAAAGACAGGGATCTGGAAGTACTGACACTGATTAAATTAAAGAAGAAAAAAAAGAAAGTCTTGACAGTCAGTGGCCTTGAGTACTTGTTTGGTTGATTTTACTGTGTGGACTATTTTTTGTCTGTTGGGGGAACTTTACCTTCTAGTAACTGCAAATTTTTAGTTTCAGCTGAAATAATCAGGCTACTTGTCACATCATCATAGTTACTAGTATAGAGGTATTTTCCTGGAGTTTTGAAATCGCAGTTCACCCTACACAGTTGAAGCAGATCACTATAGCTCAGTGACTGTTACGAAAAATAAGGTTTATGCAACATTTAAGTTCTTTGTGGTGTTATTTTTCCCGAATCATCCTTTCTGAAAAGCCATCCTTCTTGAACACAGGGAACTTTGTTTGGCTATGTCTCCTTTAAAAAAAATATTTCTTCAGGATTATTTTTATCTCATGTCTCCATTGCTCTTTCTAAATAATGCAGCAGTATTTATACAGACTTACAGAGAGGTTGTCGAGCTTGCCTGATGAAGAGGCAAGTAGAATGACAATTGTCATTTTAACTGCTGAAGTTATTTTACCGTGCCCTTTTAAGGTTTGTTTCATCTATGCAACTGCATTGCTCATCTTTTCCTTCAATCAAGGTAAGAAGTGAGACTGTCTCACAGTTCTGATACAGTTATAATATTCTCTGCACATTCCTGACCCAAAATCTGAGCTGGTGACAGAGCTGGAGATTAGGAAGGACTGTCAGACCACATGAAACCCTCCCATTCATGCAGGAACGCAGCCACAAACATTCCACATATTTAAGATAAACAGACAAGGGAAAAATGCAGACAAATGTACAAATGCAGCAAGGTCCAGACATTCAGATAAAAATTTTTACTAGACACCATTAGGACACTGATGTTAGGAAAACATGCTTAAAGTGGGAATATTTTCCTGCCTTATTCTCATTCCCTATCTGCACATACAAGGTTACTGTCTGGTATTTTTTTGCCATGCTGGAGTGGGGAGAGTCCCAGTTCAGGGAGCCAACAAACTGCAGGTCTACCTTGGAAAGGCATTAATATTCTCCAAAAGGTATCTGAAAAGCACGACTGAAGCTGAATAATTAAAGCATATTAAGAAAATCATCCCCTACAAGCATTTCCAAGGCAGATAGTTTCCTCTTTCCTCCTCAGTTCCCTCTGTATCATACAAAGATTTCTCACAGACAATTAAAGCTGGTTTCTAAGGAACTAATAGGACTTGCCATTTGAAAGAACACTAAATTTCAACATGAGTTCAATTGCACTGATTAGTAAAAGAGACAAAAGGACACAAATACGCCTCAGCAGGCATAGATAATAGCATCACACAACACAGGTGTTACTGATTCACATGTGCAGTTTGGTTTTTTTCCCCATTATTCGGGCAAATGCTGCTGTTACGGCAGAGAAGCAATTACCTTTCACACTCGAACCTTTGGAATGACTAATTGCTCCTGCGAAATGGTTATCAATTATTCATTATGGAAAAAGAGAAAAAAATAAATTACTGAAAGAACTTTATTCAAATGCATGTTTTTCTATTGAGCTCTTTGCAAAACCTTGCCTACTCAGAAATCTTAATTCCATATCTTATATTTCACTGAAAAATAAACCCATCTAAAAGGCATAGAGAAACATAGCAGTTTTACAAATGCTCTCCCTAAAGGAAAGTCAACTTTCCATGAAGATAAAGGACCCATTTTTAAGTAAAACATTTATCAGTTAAATTTATGTAATCATGCAAATGTAACTAAACACTGCAAGAAACACACAGTCGTTAGGTCGCAAAAAGAGACACATTCACAGAAACAAGGCGTAATGCGACAGTCTCATTTTCTCCTCGTGCTGTAAGCAATAGGCAGTTCAAGGCTTGGGATCAGCTGTGCACCCACACCAAGAAGCCTCAGAACCAACCTGCCTCCATTCAGCCCCTCGTGCAGGCACAATCTGTTGCTTAAGGAATTTTTAACTGCTCAGGTGCCTAGTCACAGAACATGCATTTAAAAATATTAGACTCCTCATAAGATCCAGCACTTCACGAAAAGTTTCCCACAAGCCAAGACTTGTATCAGCCAAGTCTAAGCTGATACAAGAGCTAAAATGTTTCTTGTTGTGCTGGCTTGTCCCCTCTGTAGTAAACCACTAAACTTAACACTGTTAACAGCCATACTGTTGCGCAAAATATTGCAAATATCCATAAAGCCGTATCATTAAAAAAATGAATATTCCAAAGGGGTTATTGCAGAATCACAAAAAACAGACATACCACCACAAAATTACGGTAAGGTCAGAATTATAGGTGAAAGCTGTTATTGAAAGTGGCACTGCCAAGTATGTTAAAAAAACCCCTGGTATTTCATTTAAAAAAAAAAAATAAATCATAGTACATTTTCTTTTATTTCTATTCTTTTTTTAAAAAAAAAAAAAAGATTGACTTTAACATGTCAAGATACATTTTTTTGTATGGAAACATGACAAAGTGGGAAGCCCAAGTCTGTCTACCTTGTCATTGTCACCCACAGATCTGCAAAGATTTCTAAATTTTCTGCTCTACTTGTGTGACTACGAGCAAAGCAGCAAAAATTTAGGCCTGCACAAAGCTGTAGCTCTGCAGATACTAGCATTAATCAGAAGTTTTGTTGTGACAGGTTATTTGACGGCAGGAAAAAAAAGAATTTTTGAAATGTTATCATTATTTAACAATTATTTAAAAGTTTTCCAAGATTTTTTGGAACTACTTGACAGTGCTGATGCAATCAGTACTTTTGAGAAAACATGACAGTGATAAATACAGCCAGGTAAAGGGGTGTTTTCATACCTTTCCTGGCTTTTCCTGAGTTTGATAACAACAATAAAATAAAATAAAAAAAAAGGCAAACTGCTTTGAAAAGTTTATAGTTTGTTTGTACATATACATACACCTTACCCTCAGTATACCATTTTTCTGTAGGGCTTAGAAAGAATACAAAGAATCATCTTGCTGGTACCTAACTTCTTTGTCCCAACAGTTTTGTTCCCAGTGCTGTGTCTAGTCTTAACACCTGAACTCCAGTTAACCATTCCCTCTTCCCTTCCAGGGTCCATCCTGCAATCAACGGGACTGAATTGGCTAACCCTCCCCCCTCACTCCTGCCTGTCCTTGCGCAGGCTTCTGACACCCACCACCCCATGGGAGCTTCCTGGGGCCAAGTTTTGACCCACGCAGAGTGAGGTCTCTAGATTGTACCAAACAGCAGCTTCTTCATACTTTTTTTTTTTTTTTTTGTTTGCATATGGTTTGCTTACAAAGGCACGTACACAGGAAGTGAATTTGTAAACACAGTCCTTCAAAAATCCTTCATGAACGGCTGCTAAGAAATAGCTTTTTCCACCAATGATTTGTATCAAAGATGCATCCTCTTAAACGTTTTGTAAGTTGTTCTTAACTCAGGCTATGATTACTGACAGTGACAGTTTCTTTCAAGAATGTTTCTTGAACTCACATGACTGACTAAACACAGTTTGGGTAACTCTGGAATAAAGACTATTTAGTATTTTAAAATCTATGAAAATATTTCCTCCTGGATCCAGCCTAAAATTTCTTCATAGACATTACTTGTTCCTGCACAAAGAAAATGAGATTGAGATCCATGTTCAGCTTCAAGTGGCTGTTCTTCATTTCCTGACTTCATTTTTAGCTTTTAATTTTTCATCTCAGACTTTTATGTGTACCTTTTTGGACTGAAATAAGAAAAACTGGAAGAAGCATATTAGACAAAACTCATTTTAGACTGTTACTAGTTTAGTGATAATTCCAAGATAATATCTTTAAATTAGCTGAGCTGCCACTTCCTCCAGGCACCGCTGAATATACTTGTTTTCAGATCTATATGAACCTGCCAAAACATCTGGCCTAGAAGTCTGGTCAATGCTTTTAAGCCCTAAGGAACACAGTAAGCTACTAATACTGCTTCAAGAGCGCATCATCCTCTTTGAATAGCAGTTTGTGGGACACTGCATGATAGTCAGTGCTCCAAAGTGAGTGGGTCAAGAGGCTTTTATCACGGGAGGCCCTGGCTTTCCACAGAGCTGAGCACACCTGGCTCCAATGCACCTGGTGCAGCTGTATGCTCAAGGCATAGGTAACCCAAGACCTCCATGCCATTTGCAATGCACCACCTCGAACACAGAAAACTGGTGGAGTGAAAAACCTGGCAAATGGGAAAAAGAAATGTAAGGAAAGCAAGCAGTGGCTCAGTACACATGACAAGCCAAGAACACTTTTTACCTATTCATCACCTATTTTAGGTGAACAACTAATTTTTGGAGCAGGAAGAGAAGCGAGCGCATTTTTATCAGTATAAGCAGTATCTATACATTTGCAGAGTTCCACTGATTTGGTAGATAATCTTCTCCAAAATATTCTCTTAGTCCAAAAAGGCAAACCTGATCTACCTCAAGAAAGTTTCTGTAGGAAATACAGTGTATTTACTATATAATAAACATTTATCACAGAGTGATGGAATAAAAGAACATTGCCAAGGATGTCCACTGACATGACATTTGGCTTGGTTTTCAATGATGTATTTAAGGATGTCTGCTGAAATTAATCTTAGTTACACAGACTCAAGTCCCCCTGACTTTACTGGAAGCTACATAAGATTTCAGAATTTTAATTGACAATAGTATTCCATTTCAATTGTAGTGTGTGGTATGTTTAAATACCACATCATATTCAAAACATTTCCCAAATCTCACTGTTCCACAGAAATGTACTTTCTTTACTCATGACTTTGAACAAAACCTCGTTTTTCCTCTGCATGCTGGGTTTGAACGTGCTGGGTATGAGGTGATGGGGGAAACCAGAAATCACACCAAGTTGAACGTTGAACCAAGCAGTCCCTTCCCTGCTCGTACCACGACATCCATTAAGGCTGTGCCCATAAGGCTGAATGAAAGGTGCCTGAAGACTGTCTCTCTGGCCCTTCTGTATAGCTGGATAGAGATAGTCTAGGATCTGACTCTAGCCAACCGACATGGACATCTCTGTCCTCGCTGATTCTCCACTGGAGTGCAGAACGAGCTCTGCAAAAACTTTTGTGGGGTGTTACCAAGACAAAGGAGCTTTCCCCAAACTAGAAACATGGCACTTCAGAACAAGAGAAAGCAGTTACACTCTTCAAGCTCCTCCAACAGCAATAAATTCAGGGAGCTCCATGTTGAACACAAAGGGAATAAACCCTTCATTACCCACCAAGAGAGGTAGTCAAGCCATAAACAACCCTTGCATTCCTATATTCTCCATGTTTCGACTCCGTCTACTTTGCAAATCCTGTGACAGTTCAAGTAAAGCACCTGTCAGTGGCATTATTTCCCTTTGGCAAAGCTGACGTTTCAGAACAGGACACCTAAAACTGTCCTCTTTCTCGGTACAAATTAATCCCTTAAGGATCTCTTCATAATTTAGTATTTCCATTCTATTGGATCTTTCAAAAAAATAACGGTCAACTAATGTGGCAGGCAGTATAGCACATATGATTCCTTGCAGCATATGACAAGTACTGTGCCAAGTGCCTTAACGAACACATCTGTCATTGTCCCCTGCCTCCCTTCTTTGTCAGGCCATAATTCAATTTTGGTTTGTGAGGTTTCTCTCTCTCTCACCCCTCGGACCAGAAATCTGACCCGACTCTTACAATTGTCTTAGTTTCATGGTGACAAAAAAGTAAACATTAAAAGTCATCAATTTATTTTTAAAACTCTTACCTTTGCCTGTATTAGGCTTGGTAACACTTTGCAGTTGTGTTTCAGGTTGCACAGTAATGCTTTTTTGCAACCATTTTACAGAAACATTTCCAATTTTAAACATTTGATGTCTTGTCATCGAAGTTTAGCCAAAACATCCTTACTGATTTTCATACTGAAACAAAGTGTTTCCTGCACAATGGCAGTGATGAGTCTGAGTGTACTCGCAAGCTATTCCACCCTTGCACATATATTACATCAAAGAAGCTTTCCCAGCTGAGTATAAGGTAATTTTGTATCACATCTGAAATACTTTGAGATAAGCTAGGCACAACAGGGCAGGTTTGGGGAAGTCCTGATGCATAACTAAAGCTCAAAAACAACAAATCACAATTGGATCAGCTGTATAAAGTGAACATAGTAAGTCATGACCCTTTCTCAGCAAGCTTGTTCCATCCCTGTATTGAGTCATCTCGGTGCGTGTGGCTGACCTCAGTCACCCTCTTTGACCTTTAACAGCTGCTAGCTCTGACAAGTCCTGGAACAACAGGATGGGTCCTATCTCAGCTCAGGCTTAGTCAGTGCAATTCTACCTAAGAACCTCTTGCGCTTGTATTGATGACAGTGATGCAGAAGCCGGAAAGAAAATAAACTGACAGATGGCACCGAGGAGCAGCTCCATTTGGAGATGGGACAGTTATGAATAATGCATCTCGTTACAGCAGAAATTAAGTGTATTGACTCAGGTCGATAAACAGACACAGAATCCCATAGCCTATGAGATCATGTTTCAAAGATGTAGCTTTCTTTTGGATCCAGAGTTGCTGTGTTCCTACTACAAAAATGCAGCTATCTATCCATGATAGAACAGCTCTCTCCTTTCCTATTTTGTAGCCCAAATAGTTAAAGCCACTTGTAATACCACAGTTAAAGATTCTTAAAGGTATCTCTGTCTTGGGAATTTGTCCAGGCAAAAATACATGTCTGTGAAAAGCAATTCTTGAGATCACAAGATGAAAAGAATTATTAAAAAAAAAAAAAAAGGCAACAGGTAACATATTGCCTCAGAATCACTCACAGAAATTACCCCATGTGTATTTTTCAATATACTTTTCTTGTTTACTGGATTATATTTGGTGACCGTGTACGTCAAAACTACGTGTGCACCTATGTCACAATCTTGTTTTGCTGATACCTGAAAATTACATTTAGAGCTTTTTTGACCAAGTAGTAAAATTTTGTTTTACAGCCCTGTTGATTATGGCAACACTAGTTTCAGGCTTATTTCCTGAAAAATTGAACACTGACTTTAAACAGAAATGAATCAAATAAAAAGGTCTTACCTTTGTGCATCCTTCTCGACTCTGACTCTTTGGTCATGGTTGCCAGGCAGTGAGGAAGTACACTGCCACAGCTGTTGCTCTGTCCTAACGGTAAATGTCCCTGCAGGAAATTTTGTAAATATGTGCTTAAAGCCACACTTCGAACTTTTTTTGTATCAGCAACTAATGGTAAAACAACTTGCTTTGTCATGGGTATCAACGTCATCTCATATCAATCAGCCATGGATATTTTAGTTGTGCACAGTCTCTATTACGCCAAAACATTTTCAAAGTAGTATCTCCACCTTCCTGATGTTTGTTGATTTATCACATCACAAATAAAAGAGTTTTTTCACTTTATACGTAACCTTATCTTTACCATTTAAAGGCCTTAGGTAGGAAGGAAAACAACCTGATCTGTCTCTAAAGTCAATTTAAAACTAGCCTGAAAATGCAATCCCCGAGATAGTAATCGTGCATTTGTGATTAATGTACTGCAGAACGGCATTTCCAGAGGTCAGAATAAAGGCTGCGAGTACAGAAGGCTTCATGTATATTCCCATCTGCTAATAAACCTGAAGTCCTTTCAAAGTCAATTTCAGATGTAAATTTGGGGGATTACATAACGCTTAAGGTGCTACCCAACCTTACCTCTAACATAAGATAGGGTTTTATATAGACACTGGAAGGCTATTAATAGCATGCAACTACATACTTTAGATGCAATGCTTCGTCCGAGCGTAGCGCTGTTGAAGTGTGGTGATACAGACGGAGTCGTTTTCTTGCGAGGTAAAGTATCACTCATGTACATGCATTCCCGGTGCTGCTTCTTTCGCTCTTCCAGATTTCTGAAATGCTTCAAATGTAATTTGTTACAGTTTTGACAAAAATGAATTGACCTGCTTGCTCAGTTATGCTCTACATGGAATATACTGAAGGTGGTAGTCTGGGAACTTCACTGGAAAGAAGGAAATCTAAAATACAGAGTGCCTCCTGCTTCACAGTGCTTTCCAGGATTTCTACAAATATCGCATTAAAATCATGCTGATTAAGCAAATACATTAAATTCATGTGCACATTTTGTATATGTCCCTGTACCTTTATTTTTTTTTTAAAAAAACCCAAACACCTCGTCTAGTACAAGTGGAATCCAATTATAAAGAAAAACATTTAGTTATAGGTTATTCTAATGAATTGGTGGCTTACAACCCGTACAGCTTTTGAGAGGCATTGTTCAAATGTAATTGAGAAATTAATTTAGGATTTCAAATGTCACTCACTTGTACTTTATTGCTGCAAGTCTTCTGACAGTTACAATGCCTCCTAAATATTAGCATTTGCCTCTGGATTGTTTACACAAGGAGAATTTTTAATCAGGAACATTCTATAATGCATTGTGTTGATTTTTAAATGAGCAGTGCCTTCAAGTGCAACACTCCACAAGCTCGATCAACTTATGATTTATCCTGTCACTCTAAAAACTTCATACATAAATCAACTTCATGGCCACCATAACAAAATCAAACAAAATAATCCCAAGTTACCAACTTTGAATCTGTTACCTGTTGTTGCCTGCGGTGTTTCTTAGCTGGCAGAGGTGGAGGTGTATCAGATAAAGGAATAGGATCTACATGAGTAGCCATGACCTCAGGCCAATGGACTGATGGAAGTTGAGCAATAGAGCGAGGAGAAAGAGAGTGAGGAAACACAAATCCAGAACAGAGAGGTGATCTTAGCTTTATAGAAAAAAGAGAAATTACACACAGAGTTTTCTTTTTGGAATTGCTCAAAAGATACAGCACATACAAGCTGCACTTTTAGCACTGTGTTTGTTGGAGCGTTTAGCAGGAAAGGAGGTGTGTTGTATTGCAACTCTCAGGGCATATTCAACTACCAGAAGCAGCACAGAAATGCCAAATCTAAACCAGTTGCTGCCTTATTGCAACACAAAGGTAGGTGGCTTTACATTCATAAGGTTATTCCACTCCTTTAAAAGGGGGTTTATTCAAAATTTGCTATGGTCATTACAAAGGCAAAATCATCACAAAGAATAAGGAAATGAGAGAGTAAGCTAGAAGACGCAGGCTGGACAGACTTCGTGGAATAGTTGAGATAAGTGGAAGTTACCCATCTCCCACAAATATTCAAGATATACTTCTACCACCTCACAGGGAAAAAAAAAAAAAAGCAGCTACAAAACATACAAAATGAACACCTAAGCACCACTGATCAAGTAACCATTAAGCGTGTCCGCAGACCGTTTACCAAAGGTGCATTACATTGACAATGTTTGACAGGCAAATATTGTCACTTATTGCTGCTTGGGTCATGAGCATTCAGGCTTTTTGGCCTTTAAAGTCCATCTACATCACCAAAGACACTGTACAACGGGAGCAGTCCTTCAGCTTTACTGTTACCTGACTCAGTAACTGGCAGACGGCAGTTTGCCTTTGGGTCAATTTGTTACATGTTGAATTACCAAAAAATAAAAATAATAATAATAAAGAAAATAAAAAGGCAGCCATGAAAGAACAATGTAAACAAAGGGAAATGTCTCTCAAACAAACCTCTTTATTTTGTGGCTGGCTCGTCAGCACAGCCGTGGAAGACTCAGTGGTAATTGCTTCAGCATCTGTGGGGGGCTGAGTGGAAGGGGATATATTCGTGGAATTGCCATACAGCTCACTAATTTCACTTACACTGATATAGCCCTAAAAGGAGGAATTCAGAAGTTAAAAGGAGCAAAAGCCAAAAGACGTGCAAGAGTATTAATGTATCCAGTACAATGAAAGTTAGTTTAGAGTGTTACGGCCAAATATTTGTTATCATTGAAACACTTCATCATAAATAAAATAAAATCATCAAGCTTTTCAAATGTTGAATACTTGGATTCTGAAAATTATTCTTCATTGAATTTCAAAAACATTTGTGTAATCAAAAAGCAAATGTACATTAAGTGACTAAAAGACTTTATTAAAATGTAAATACCCTTTAGAAATTACGTAGCTCTTTCTCAGGAAAGCAGATTGGAGGAAAAAGAAGAACAAAACTTATTCACCCATCTCTTTATTTCTTAATTTTTTTTTTTTTGTCCATGTTTAAATAAAATAACTTATGCTGATTTGCTTCTTGCCTAACTATGAAGCTAGCTTGAGTAAACCAAACGACTAACAGAACTGGGAGGAACTTACATAGGGACAAGCCATTGCTGCTCTATAATTATGTTGATACACCACCTTCCATTTGTGTTGTCTGGAAGTCTCTTCTAACTTTTAGGTGTTACCAGGACACTCAGGTAAGATGCTGTTAGTGTTAGCCCCATAGCCAATTACAATTATTGCACGTGTTCTGGTGTTAACTGAACAAATATTATTTAAAAAATACAATATGGATTCTAATCCATGGTGTATAGGATGCCAGACTAAAAAGTCGAATGTCCTAACTTCTTATCCATAGAAAACAGGGCTATGCAAAAGGAAGAATAAATCACTGTTAAAGCAATGTCATAAAAAGTAGATATAAATGTGCTTATTTTTTAAATCAAGATGGTAACTCTGCTTTTCAATTGAGAAGGTGTTGAAGGGGCTACGTTTCTATTACTGTACCCGCACACTGACATGCCAGTAGGTATACTTCAGTAAGAGAAGCCACAGACTGCTATAGTATTTCTTCTTTTTAAAAATGCATAAAGTTAGCAATGATCATAGAAGACAAGTTGAAAAAAATACCAACCTTACTATCTATTAGCATAATTTTCAATGTATCTTATCAGTTATTTCAAGCAGATACACAATTCTGGAAAATTAAGTATTATGCTCTGAACACAGCACTCTAGAAACAGAAGGCAAATCTTAACTCTGATATTATTCTGATAAGATACTAAAGTTTACCTCTGAAAACATGTGGCCATATTACAGTAAAATAGAGTCCAGCATGAATAAACATAAAACTTGCTTACCCGTCTAGTAGTAGCAGTATATTAGTAACCAAAACTTGCCAAGTCTACGAATGCAATATTGGATTCATTTTTATCGACAGTAAAAGCACTTTCACCATTATATGGAAAACATTCAGTTCAGATTCACAACCCCAATGGATATTCACCATGGGGTTAAAAAAAAAAAGCAAACAACAAGTGACTGTGCACTAGCTCAGGCCCCTATTACATTAGATTAAATAAATGGTTTCAAGTCAGATCAGGCATCCCAGTCATTTTGTCAATGCTGAACTTCTAAACAGCACTGATTTTCCTCACTTAAATAAGTACTGGGATAAGCTCTACGTGAGGCCATGTTACCCTCTCTTGCTGTGCATCCAGGGAGTAAGCTTCAGGATGGATGGAAGAGAGTTACAAATGAGTGCTTTGGTGAGGAGGGGCGGTGAAACATTGGACCACGGGCTCAACTGACACATAGTGAAATTAACTTCTGCGTGCAAGCAGTCTGTTTAAGCCTGTGTACCATTTGGTGCCTGATTTTTAAAGGTTCCAAAACAGTCAGAGAAAAATTAAACTGGACTGAGACAAACATAACATCTGGCAAGGAAAGCCATTTCTTTTACAGGACAGAGCCTTTGGGGACACAGAGCATGAAACAGATAACCCATGCTGGTCCTCCTCTCATTTGCCTTGGATTAAGTCCTAACTGACTTCATTGCAGTGAACAGGAAGACATTGCTGAATAATCCATTTCAATAAAAAGAATGTCAGGCTCACTTAACGTAGTTGCATTTTGAAATATCTGTGATTAAACAAACCATTATGTGTGTATGAAGAAAAAAAATCAAAGATAGCCCACACTCACTAGTGAGAGAATGAACAGATCCATCTCAAAAAGAAAAAAGCGAAGCTTCAACTTGACAGATGTCCTGGTGGGAGATCAGATGTCCAGATCAAGAACACATCCTAGGACACTGAAAGTCTAAGGATCTGCAACGTGGCTTGCAGTGAGGAAAGGTGCTCAACCCCACTGGCATGTCCTGGAGGCTACTCAGGTTCACCAGGAACTTGGAGGCCAAATAAGCAAGATCACATTTCCCAGGTGCTGAAAGGACATGTGGTTGCTTTAGACTTCAAGAGCCCAACTTCCCACAGTGACACCTACACCATTAGATGTGGCAGATATTGTTCAGGACTTTGATACAAGCAGATCCAGCAAGCCCGGACCTTAAGCAGAAGTTATGAAGCAGCCATAGATACCTGTGAGTGTATTTTAAATGCTAGATTTTCCGCTTCTGCATTTATAGCTTCATGTTTACCTGGAATTTGCAGATTCATCAAGTCAAGTCAAGAAGATAAATATGAGGGGTTAATGCTAATATCATGCGTGCTGATTAATCTTTGCAATGGGCTGTGGCTTACCTTACTGTGACCTTGCTCGCTGACCTTGAGGCTTAAAGCCATACCCTCAAAACTACGAAGTCTTGACAGCTGCAGGTAAGCTCTGGGTCTCATTGTACATTACCCAAAGTAATTCTTTTTTTTTTTTTTTTTTTCCCAGAAAAAAAATATTTGACAACTTTAACTATTCAAAACAGTTAAATAAATAGCTCAATAGCTATCTTACAACCACAATAGCTTGAAGTCTTCTATTCAATGCTTTTTAAAGAGGTCAAAATGTACACTTGTCATGCTTTACTGCAGAGCCTTAGAATAAATGGAGGGGTGTCAATGATAAAATCTACAGTGCAAAAGTAAGAAAGAACTGAATTTGTACTTGAACAGAGTTATTCCTGGACCACATTCTACTTCACTTCAATGAAGTTAATTGTCTATTTTGAGAAAATTAGACACACACAGACATACTCATACACACACATAAACCTGATTATTTTTACAGAGCAAGAGATTAAGGCAATCCCAGTCACATCTGGGAAAATATCAAGAAAAGCTATTTTTGCTCAACCATGCATTTGGACTTCCATGAATAGCTTTACAAAATAAATTTATCTCATCTCAAAAAAAAATTGTGCGAATAAGACTTCACTAAATACTAAAATGCTTTTGTATGAAGTGTTATTAAAAGTTACTTATGGTAAAGTCAAAAGCAGTGAATCTCTTTACCTCTTTTAGACTATTGGGACTGACAGGAAATCCCTTTCCTCCAGAAAGCGTGGAATATTTCTTTTCCAGATTACAGAGATTTTCTTTTTCCTGTTAAAACCAGACATTTTATGTTAAATACCAACAGTCATGTAGTGAAAATAAGTGCTAGCCATTTTCTTAACCGTGTAAAGAAACACACTGGGATGGAAGGCTAGAAACTGCACATCAGAGCTTCAACTACATCCATTTACAGCAGAACCGAATAAAAAATGGAAGTACAGAACGAATAGGCTAGTGAAAGATTTTATTTAATACCCTCAGCCAAACCAAATAGATCTTCCTTCAGCATTTTGAAAATGCTGATTCTGCTTAATGAACTAAATATTTCTCTCATGGTTGAAGCAAAACACAAAATGGATGTGAAGGGTCCATGCCAGTTTCTTATTAACCAGATGGTTGCTGATGTTAAGCAGCTCATCTTGTGGCCTAGTATGGGCTACTACAAGCCAAAATTCTGAGCTCTCTGTGCACAGTTCCAGCAGCCACACAGGGAGCACAGGCTTCTAGCTTCAGCACCCAGGTGGGTGCCTCTGGTTGACTCCTCTGGAAGAGAGACACCTCTAAAATCCTCTCAATTATCAAATGCCACTAGCATTTTCTCTTAGGAAATCTGCCGATTAACTATGAAAGACTTCCTTTTTTTTAAAGGTTAGTGGATACAAATTATGTCTGTCACGTTATTACCTACTTGCTAGCTTCTGCACAATTGATGCTTTTCTTGTGCTTTCTTTTATTCTGTGAAATGCTCTTTTATTATACACTAAAAATATTTGAAGGACAATAAATACTTACCCTTTGCAGCATCATTATTAAGTTGTTTTTCTCTTTTACAAAATGATCTTGTTCTCTTTGTGCTTGTTGGACAATATGATTGGCTTGTTTTTTGAGAGCAGAAATCTTTTCCTAATATAAAAAGAAAATAATCACAATTTACATGGTTTATTTTTAAAGCACAAGACAACCTGCAGCAAGGATCCTATTCATGAGAGTTCACTCATTCATACAAGTGAAGCAGTAGGAAAAGAAGTTTTTACAAGACAGCTCACTGCTCTGAAGAAGACATTTAAATAAGATTTAGATAGTAAAGAGATGACTTGTTCAAGAGACAAAACAAAAGAACAATTGCAATTGGTAATTGGTGACTTTGGTAATATGGTGACTAACAGCCATATACTGAACAGAACTGGTTCAGAGATGCAACTTCTGATCTCTGAAAACCTGGCGTTTAACTGGTTGAGGTAGGACCTTTACAAGTGACTTGAAAAATTAAGGTATTTTCTTAATTTGGTGTTCTATTACTATTTTAACAAAATCATTTAGCATCAACATCAAACATGAGCATAAAATAACTGTAGTTGTGTCCAGAGTGTACAAACTGCCTTTCTTGAAGAAGAAAAAACAACACTTTGGTACCTTTTGTAGCAAATTAAAGGGTTTAATTTTCATATGCAAATACACAAACAGGGCATCGAATTTTATTGATTTATTTCCTTTTGGAGAAGTGCATGATTTGATCTTTGTGGGATGTTGCTAGGCCATCATCTTTGCTCTGCTTGAAAAGCTTTTTCAAAGAGGAAAAGTTTTACATTATTTCTTACAGATGGGCAGGTTGTAGATCCATTTCATCTCTTTTATGCTCAATGACAACAAATGAATCGAGTGTTAGTGCTTTTACCTTTCTACTGACAATGCTGCGCTGATATTCAGCTACTTCACGCAGGAGCTGTTGTGTCAGATTTTCTTTTTCTTCATCTAACCTGCTTTCATGTTCAAGCTGCTGAAATTCCAAATCTTCAAAGTGTTTGCTTTCTATGTCCAAAAGATCAGCATCCTTAAGCAAAAAGAAAAAAAGGCAAAAAAAAAAGTAGTCATGCTTTCACTGACACCAGAGTAGAGATACTTACAAACACAAAAATCAGTCTCAAACGGTATTTACGTATCTCATACAACATGTTCAAACAGGAACTCAATGCTTTTAATGACCTACTGCTATAACGGGAGAGCAAATAGGGCTAATTCTTATTTTGATGTTGCTTTCTCCATCGCTCCTACTGTTGTCCCCCTGCTGCTGAGAAAGATGGAAGTGCCTGCATGGTGAAGAAGCTGTTTTGCAGGGTTCAGAGCAAGCTGGAGCCTCCTAAGCACCGAGCACACCCTGGCTAGGCAGATCGCTCCGCTGTAGCCTAGCTGCGACACCACCAAAGCCTGAAACCATTTGGTGAGGTTGTCAAACTGGGAATGCATCTGCTTACCAGCCAAGAAGGATGGAAAGTATCATCCCAGTAACACCAGAGAACTGAACGCCGAATTATAAATTATGGGAATACACACTCAAACGAAGGAGCCTGATCTGCAGTTAGAATGTCTTCAGGTCTAGCCCAAGTACCAGCACCAACTCTATTAGCAGACGTGCAGTCAGATAAGACAAAACATATGCAGAGCTGGGTGCCATCACCTCAGCACTGACGTCCAGCCATGCAAGTTGCTCAGCCAGAGGCCGATGGCAGACCACCAAATTGGAGGTGACAATTGCTCCCTGTGCAAACACCCCATTAAGGACTCTAGTCATCCACCCCAGCCAGAAGGTGTATTACTTCAGAAAAGGTGTCAGTCCACTTTTAGGCATTCCCCTGGACCAACCCCTGGTTTTGTCAGGAAAAAGAGGCTGAATGCTGCAGAAAAGACCCAAGAAATAAGACGACACCTGCCTTCTGCTTAGGGATGATGAGATAAAACTCATGGTGCTTTTCAGCACAAGAACCGAATGCTAATCTTTCTCCTGCAACATCTGTGTATTCATAACACACATTCCTACTAACAAGTTCCAGAGTTCTGAAGAAAAACATGTTTTTAATAATTGCAGTGTTATTAAATGCTAAGGCTCTCTAAAATAAGCACACTGTACACAACTTGTTATGCAAGAAAACCTGCATCCTGTAAGCAATTTATCATTTTAGAGAAATGCAAACTTTACTCCTTTTCTTATTTAAACCTAAGGCAAAGGTTAGTGATGGAGATAAGCAGAGAGGTCTCTATAAGGGTATTCAAAACCAGCTTCAAAATGTCCCAGGGAAAGACACAGGATGCAGAAACTGAAGAATTCAAGTTACTATATGAAAAACCAGCATCTTCCCATTATTCTACAATAGCAAAGCAATCAAAAAAAAAAAGCAAAGCTGTGGGCTAAAAATTATGAGAAAGCAGTTACCTACAATACAGAAATGCTTCATTCAAACCAGTCGGCCATCTTCAGCATTCAAAACAAACAGAAGGGCTTTGCCTGGGCCATGAAAGTCAATAAATTCAGCCCATTTCATACCACATTAATTGCTACTGAGGCAGAAGAACTGACTTCATAGAAGGCAATCGATAGGCAGAAAGGCAACTGCTAGCCAGTCGAGCTCACAAAGCGCTATATTCTTTGTGAGATGGACTATGGAACAAGAATTTCACCACATTCTGTACCACTGTGTCTACTGGGGATAAATAAACATACCTAATTCAAAAGGGTAAGTGGCAGTAGCTTAGCTCTTGCAGCGGTTGCAAGGACATTGCAGCGAGATCACCAGGCAGGCAGGCACACAGGTACCAAGACCCCGGGCAGCCTGTGGGAGCAGGGTACAGCACAGCAGCAGGGGCATGAGATCTTGCTCTGAGGTGTGCCCACAGAGTCCTCGCCATAACCTTTGCAAGGATCCTACTCGGCAGCTTAGGATTTGTAGGAGGATAATTGTTCCTGCTGTAGGTAATAGTTTCCTGAACCTAGCAGCAAGTGTACTCCCTCCCTTTTATTAAAACAATTGACATAAAAATATTATAATTTTTAATCTATTAACAAACAACAGACACAATGTTTCCATATTGGATTTCCAAACCATAAATTTCTCCTGCATCTCTATTATTTCAGTAATGGCACTGGAGAAAATTCAGTGGCAGAGAACTTAACCCTTACTTCAGGATGTGGTGTGAGCTCCATGGGCTCACATCATCTGGAAAAATTAGGAAAATTTTATCTGAAGAGTAAGGTATTTCCTAGCAACGGACAGCGTCTTTTCAGATCTCTGCAGGCATTCAGGTATCTATTCTTATTCTCCATTTACACATTTCCCTATAAACCCAGGCACGAGAACAAACAAGCTTTGATGCTTTCATACTAACAGAAGGATGAAACGTGCAAATTAACTTCAAATAAGCCACGAGGAAGATCAATGCTTTCCCTCAGTGCCTTCCACAGGCTCTCAGGTTTCATCAGTCTCTGATGAAGTGTCCTTCTTGCCCAACAGGGAGAGCATATATTCATTACAGACACCAGGAAGCATATGGAGTGTGCCAGCTGCCCACTGCCAACCCCAATCCAAACCCCAGACCCACCTTGCAGCCAGCTGCTACAGTGAGACTGGCTGCCCACTCCCCTCAGCACAAATTACGACATTACTGAGGTCCCAGAAATGAAACAATAAGGGAATTCTTCACCTTCACACCTTCTACGTTGGCAGTAAAGTAGCACAACGTAACCTACTGCAGACTCAGGTACTTAATCCTGTACCAGGCTTATTTTGGAGGAAAAAAAGATATTTTCTCTGTTTTGGGTATGATATTTGCAGTAATTTTGCTACTGGTCTCACACTTTATATCCGTTTAAGAGCTACTGTGCACTGATTCAGTGATAACTTCTACTGCTTTGACCACAGCAGCCACAGCTAACTTCTGCTACAATTAGCCTGGAATAACATGCGATATGACTAATTAGACATTTAACTGCGCCCCGCGTTTCAAGTTTTGTCCCGCTTCGAAATCCAAAATTGTTATTAAGCTAACATGGAAGGAATAAAAAAAATTTAAAAATGTAACCAAACATATTCCTAGAAGACTCTCGGTGGCCAATAGTGAAAAAAAGGATTTACTACCATCCCATGGCAACGAGACTACAACTTATCATTAATTAATACCTTCAGGTATGTGACTGCACAGACAAGGCTTAATACTGACTTTTTTTAAAAAAAGATAACTTACAAAAATCCTTGAGTGTCTCAAAACCAGCAAACTTCCCAGTTATTACAGAAGAATTTAACATGGTTATTTCCAAATCTGGACTACTTTACTTTTTGCTCTTTGAAAAAAAGAAAATAGAATTCTGCAAATAAACCAAAATCTAAAGAATATTTCCTATAAAGCAGAAAATCTCTTACAGCCTTATTCCTGAAATAAACACTCAAGCCATTAAAAAAAAAAAAAAAAAATTTAAAAATCAAGTTTGACTTTCAGATGGCCTCTTGAGCTTGCTGTGCTGACACTTTTAAAATTATTCCCTCCCACTCAACTAAAGCTAACCATATGTGCGCTGTAGAACCCACTTAATATTAATGATACTAAAATCTTTCCACAGAAAAGAACTGTGCCTTCACAGACAATTTTGTAGCTTTTTGGTTACAAATAAGACAAAATCAAATCAAGTTGCGATCAGAGTTTATGCAAAGGTTATTAAACCAATGTGCAACTGTTGAAAATGTAGGAAAAAAATAAAGGTATTTTAATAAATGGTATGATCTTCAAAATGAATTTTGCAAAGTACAGTTCAGGCTAACAGCTAAGTCATATACTGAAAAAAGAAGTTATCCACAGCTTCACTGAGGCAGCACTTCCCTGCCACTGCTGTTTGATCCTGTTGCATACTCCTCCTTCGCAATGCTGTAAATGGCTGATCCCACTGACCAAGGTTCAATTCCTGCCTTTGCTCACACAGGTAAAAAGCAAAGCTCCACCATCCATCTAAACATCACAACAGCTTCCACACCACCCAGCAGACCTAAGGTGCCAATTACAGGCAAGTAGCCCAAAGCTTTAAAGACATTCAACACAAAATCATTTCTAATCCGCCCATTTGCACTTTACGGTTTGCCACCATGCACATTAGTTATTACAAGCATTCCACACAAAAAAAAACCATAACCCTCATGACTATTAACAATTATAAGTTGCAAATATGTTCAGAAACTGGATACTTGAAACAGAATATGTTACGTTTAACTAAAAAAAAAAAAAAAATTAGTGTGATCTTGAAACTTGCTACTGACCCTCTTCAGCTGCTGCTGTAATTGTTCCCTCATGGACTCAGGGCAATTATCAAGCTGCGTCTTCTGCTCGGAGTAAAGCTCCTGAAGCCTCTCTAGTTTTTCCCTCTCAGCATCAAGTTTTAATTTTTCCTGAAGCATGAACCAGAAAATAAACACAATTACCTTCAAACCCAAGCAGATGTTAGTGATTATGACAGCGTGTGGTAAAACCTTAACGAACAGTTGAAGCACATAGGCCAAAGACAGAAACCTCTTGTTAGTTGAAGTGCAATGGTGAGATGCAAAATAATAAAAACAAAACATTAATCATTTTAGTGCAGTGATTAATTTTCTCCTTCGTCACCATGTTACTGTGTTTGTACCCGTGCTTGGATGATGCTGTTAAAGCCCACTGCCCAAACACTTGTCCTACCTAAAAACAAACAAAAAACCACAACAAAATGAAGAAATGGTAGCCATGTTAGCAAGGTAACTGATGAAGGAGGGAAAAAAAAAAAAAAAAAAAAGAGAGAGTGGCTTTTAGAAAGCAAAATGGATGGGAAATGACTGTAGTCTGGCAGTGAGGGGAAAATGGATCCTCCCAGGAGAATGAATTACATGCCTATGTGCCTCTGTACAGATAAGTACATTTAGAAAGCAGTGAAAAACCAGAACAGAGCTTTATAAAGAAGTAACTCTGTGCCAGGAAATCCTATTGCAGCAGAAACACCAAGTGATTTAGCAAATTTGCTTCAGGATACAGGAACTGTTCTTGGGGATCAAAGGGGACTGCTCGACGTCCCTGGTCTCCTCCAACTAGTTCAGCTTTCCTCTCATTCCACTCAGCACACTGTTTCTCACCCTCAAAAGCCTTAAAATCTTTGTAATAAAATACTACATAGTTTACTGTGCAGCACTGCTCCAAAGACTGGTGGCAGATAACTTAAAGCTACCTCGTAGACTATTACTTATCTATGGACTAAAGTTTGGGAAACAATAAACCAGAGTGCAGAGAATATTTTTTTAAATGCCTTTTACTTGCATCTACACTGGCCAACACAGCAGATGCATTTTCTTTAACAGAGCAGTTAATAACTAGAAAAAACAATATGCCTGATAGGCCAGGCATAAGTAATCGAGTAAGTCCCTGAAGCCCAGCTCTCTGCTACCTTCTAGAGTCACACTGGTGTAGTTCCCTTTTCCTACTTCTTTTTCTGTAGTTATGCATCTCCTGTCAGACGGTCTCTAACTCTCCTTACCACTCAAAAATGAACAGTAACAGCCCCAAAAATTCAGCTTCTTCTTTTGGATGCTGCAAGAACAGTTGAATTCTGTCACAGCATCCACTCATTTGCCCTCTTTCCAGTCCCAACTATTATTTAATCTTAAAACCAAATGCATGGCTCAGCAGGTGCTATAGGATCACACACTCTGCAGCCCCCTTATGGTACATGCCATAGAGAAAGAACTTCTTTTAGTACACAGTACTTGCCATTTCAAACTGTGGGATGGTATTTCCCCAAAACCTTCTCTCTGTTGTTCCTGACAAGGTTCTCAAACCCCCACACAGAGTAGAGGCACAATAACAAACACCTAGTAGCTGCCTGCTTTTATCTCTAAATCTGAGTGGGATCAAGGGTTGGGATTTCATTTTTCCGATATTTAAAAACAACAGGAAGCATTCTCATTCAAGCCCAATGTCAACCAAATTCCCAGCTCTGTTATTTTCTTTTACACATGCAGCTTCTCAGCTCATACAATCAGACAAACAAAACACTGAACACAAGAGATTTTTTTTTTTTTAAGCTTGTAAAAATGAGCAAGTGAGCCAGCATATTCAATTACCTTAACTTCCTGTATAACTTCTGTCTTACAACAGCAGCAGCAGGGCTCAGAAATATGGAGGATGTAGCATGTGCAGGCTGCACAATGAGGGGGAAGCGTGCAACTCTAGAGAGGTCACCTCTGGACCTCTGTCCCCAAGGAATCCCATTTGCTGAATCATCCTTACTTCCAACACGAAAGGAAATCTATAAATAAATTGGTAGTTCCCCTCCTCACAAACCTTGCTGTCCATTTAACATTCAGTCTACCACATTGTTTTTTGCTTTGCTTTTCTGCCCACCTAGCAATCTAAAGTGGCAAGGACTTCTCCGACCCTAGCTGCAGCACCATGCCTCTGAAGCTACCAATCAATAGCTCTCTAAATGTCTACGCACTGCAACAAGCACACTCATTCATTAATGAACAACTCAAATCTCAAGTGTGAGGAGACACCATCAGCAAGTATAAAACTGCCTGAGAATCCTGCCAGAGATACTGTTTCTTCTCTCAAGAAATTAGAAATGTATTCCTTTGAGATTAAAAGTGATACTCATCTGGTCTATTTATAGCATAGGATGTGCTAACATGCCACCAAACTGGCTCCCTTCAAAATGTGCAGTCTTAACAGGAAATATCACTTTCAGCAATGAGAGACATTACATGTTTTGCAGCTGTGGAGTTATGTTTGCTGACATCTCTGGCTGCGCACTGGTAAAGTCCATTTAATTCACAAAAAGTAATTTGATAAATAAATGAATAATTAGAATTTTTTTCATACAGTCTCTTCTATAAATAGATCAAGGCAAGGTCTTTTAGAAGGGAAAAGATTAATAACTTTGCAAGCTAGTTGCAAGACGCAGCCGAGGCAGGCCTGCGACTGACTCTGCGAGCTGTTTGCTCAAGAGCAGCCAGAGGCAGAGCTGTGAACAGAACCCATGTGCGCCAGCTGCTCATCCTCATTTAACTACGTGAGCTTGTACATGTTAAACATTCCTCTGCAGACAACCGCTTCCCAACCCCAGCGTTGACTTCAGAGTCTCGTTAGCTGCAGTCTGGCTGAATTCTTAACATCCTGTTTCCAGACAAAAGAAGTACAGCTCAGTAGAGCATAACATCTAGTCTTAGCCTACTGCCCAACTTGCCCTATGGTCTGCCTCTAGACACATGTTAAAGGAACTTGGGGTCAGCCAGGATACAGAGCAGGACTGACGTGGTTATTGATGATGCTCGGGCACAGCTTGGATCAGTTTTGGAGGATATCTGAATATTACGAAGGATAGCAGTAGAAGGAACTGACATGTGACACTTTCCTCCAAGAGCACAGGCAGAGGATGTCAGCAGAGCACCCATGGTATGAACACAGACCATAAGTGATGAACATGGGTCACAAAAGGAAATCAACCTTTAGATCTGGTAGAATTGATTTCAGGGCAAAGAGAGAGGTAAAAAAAGAATATATATCCAACACATCTCTTAGATGACGAGGACACAGAGGAGATAAAAGGACAGTATTAAAGACAATCAGAGCCCCTAGAAGAATGGGAACAACAGAAAGAAAGAGAGAGACCAATTGCTTTGGTGTTGTCCCGTGGTTAAGGATGCCCTATGCCTGATCAATACTGCTACTTAAAACCCTATCAGGTCCCTACACCCCTTCTGCAGAGAAGTTCTGCTTTTCAATTTGTCGTTCATCACATTCTGATACTGCAGGCAGGCAGGCTAAAATTGTAGAGCAGCATGTGTCTGCACATATGTGTGCCTTCTGAACCAACCTTCCTGCATAAACTGGTGGACTCTGCAGAAATAAGTCAGAGTAAACGTGAATGAAAGAGAGAAATCTTCTCAAAAACCCAGATAAAAACTGGGGATAAAACCAAATGAACAAAAAAAAAAACCTCACAAAAAACTAAAGCAAGAAACCTATCATTTTTACCAGCTTACTGTGAAATGAATTGTATGGCTAGGTGAATTGGGCTCACTTTGCAACCTTTCAACCTCACCCCCTCCCCTCCCCCCCCCCAAAAAAAGAAACGCAACCTCCCCCCAAAAAAACAAGGTACATATTATTTTCAGAAAGAAACTGCAAAGAAACCTACAAGTCATAAACAAAGGAAAAAAAAAAAAACAAAACTGAATGCCTTCCCATCCGACAGGCTCTTACTCTTTAAATGTTCCAGTCCAAAGTACTCCAGGACCTTCCTCAGTCCAACTCACCTGCCCTGTCTCTCAGTATGGAATCAACTTGTCTCACAACTCTCACAACTTTCTGAGAAATAAAGAGAAGCACATCATGCAGTTCTTTGTTCTGAAAAGCTTCTCCATCTCATCTTCATGCTTTCACCTCTAGCCAAACTTTATTCTTTCACACTGCAAAAGAACATCCCTCTCCTTCTCCAAAATAATCTACTGCAAAAGTTAGAAGTGGAGGAGGAAAAGCAGATTACAAAAATGATTCCTTTGTACTTGGAAGCAGTGTGATGCTACAGAGTTTGTCCATACAGGAAAATATTTTGGAGAATAAGTGGAAGAGCAAGAAAATTTGACTTTAACAACTCACTGATGAAATTGGCCTAACCTTTGCCATGAACTTGTAAGAAAAGAAAACAGTCCAGTCCTAACAGAAAGCAGGCTAGGAAATGTTATCTGCTCTTCAGTGGTTACTCACTGAAAGGGGCAAATGGTACATTTGGGGAAAGTGTAAACTTGAGGTCTACCAACTCTTCCAGCAAATTGAAAGAATTTCCAATGCTATGGCTGATACAAATCAGACCAAAAAAAACCAAATAAAAACTGTTAAAACGAAACAGATCCTCCTGTGCACAAACTGTACATGTTCCTCTTCTATATTTTTCACACTATTCTTTCCTGCATTCCTTGATCTCTTTCAGGACTGAAGCATAAAACTTGTCATGATTTAGTTGTTTGTCACTAAATCCCTGTGGGTTTCAAGAAGGAAGCCATTAAAGGGGGAAAAAAAAAAAAGAAAAAAAGAAAAAAGACTATGCCAGGCATATGAAAAGGAGCGTAATATAATAAAAGAGGGTATTTCACAGAAGTTCTTTTTACTGTACAAGTGGTAACTAATTTATTATATAATTAGAGACTGTATACAGTGATGCTATCTGTATGAGATATTTCAATGGTTTTGTTTCACATGCATGTATAAAGCTAATGTTAAAAAGTATTTAAAATCACAGTAAGCAATTCCTCTGCTGTAAGTAAAAAAATCACAATGGTTGCACGCATTAACTTGCTCCTAAGACAAGTCAAGTTTTTTGGAATTTCTAAGCTCATTCTCCTACAATTGCAATGTGTTGTCCTAGTGA